ATGAGTTAGATCCAATGTACTATTCTAGTTCTTAGTGCAGTGAACGCATCCACTTTGTGCCTCTCCCAACATGTACCACCGTGCATCTTGCAGGTTTACCATACAGTAGTCTCAAAGCCTAAAAACCCAACTTATTGCCAAACATCCGGACGGTTTTTTCCCTCAGTGTAAGTTATAATTTAATATAGGCTTGGTAGGTTGTTACTGAACCTTTCTGTAGGGGGTACAAACCCCTCCTTGTACTCCCCTCTCTTCCTAATCCAACCCCCTTTCTTCTCGACATTCTCTCTCTTCCTAGATCCGTTTTTCCTCACGCTACTCCATGGCGGCCTTCTTCCTAGTATCCTAGCCAACCTAGCCTCCTAAGTTTAAGAACCTTGAGTCCTAAGTTTCTAAGATGGTATCAGAGCAGGAGATCCTCCCTGTTGGATCGCCTCCTCACGCTTCCGCAATTTTCTCCTCACTCTCATTAGCTCGAGCGGCCATGGCGGCCGCGTTTTGCTGCAGTGGCAACGTCGCGCTGCCACTGGCCGCGTCGTGCCGCGACCGGCTCGACGCGCTGCCGTGGCGTCGGGCCGTCGTTCTGCAGTCGCAGCGTCGACGTCCCGCTGCGGCATCGACGCTGCCTCTGCCGTCGCGACGTCGACGTCCTGCTGCAGCGTCGACGGCGCCGTCGGGCCGCAGCCGGTTGCGTCGACGCTTTGCCGTGGCAGCGTCACCTTGCTGCCGTTGCAGCGTCGGCGTGCCGCCACAGCGTCGACGCCGCGCCCTGGCGGCGTCGTCATGCTGCCGCGGCAGCGTGGATGGGCGGCAGCGGGCAGCACGCCGTCGTAACCGCCACCTGCCCGCCTTCCTGCCAGTAAGCGCCGCGCCACTTATGGCGCGTCGCTGAAGACTCGCCTCGCCCCGCCCCCTCCCCTCCCCCCCCCCACCTGCACCTGCTTCCCCTGCATCCCCCCCTTTCTTGCTGCAGCCGATGACTGCCATGTGAGGGACCTCTCCACCGCCGAGGAGACAGGACATGCCGCCGAGAGGGCGGGGGCCGCCGCACCAGCCTCTGTCGTTCGAGCCGCCGGCGCCGCCGCTGTTGCCGCAGGCCTGGAGCCGCCGCACACCGCCGCCGCCGCCGCCGTCGTCACTGTCGCTGCTGCCGCCATTGCCGTCTCAAGGGGCCGTGAGACCTACCCTCTTCCGGAGTCGTTGCGGCTCCTGCTGGGAATGGGGGTGCTGGGCTAGGGGGTGTGGGTGTGGGTGTGGGTGTGGGGGTGTGCGTGGGCTTGACACTACCAAGCCTAGGGGGTGTGTTAAAATTATATAAGTTATAATTTAATATAGGCTTGGTAGGTTGTTACTGAACCTTTCTGTAGGGGGTACAAACCCCTCCTTGTACTCCCCTCTCTTCCTAATCCAACCCCCTTTCTTCTCGACATTCTCTCTCTTCCTAGATCCGTTTTTCCTCACGCTACTCCATGGCGGCCTTCTTCCTAGTATCCTAGCCAACCTAGCCTCCTAAGTTTAAGAACCTTGAGTCCTAAGTTTCTAAGACTACTCACCCTCTTTTGCCTACAAAAGAGGGACGTGAGGCCATTCGACCTCACCCACGTTCTTCATTTCTAGTTCCAGTTTCGTTTTCCAGTTCTCGTCCTAGTTCTAGTTTCCTTTTTCTCGCCCAAGCTGGCGAAAACCCAGTCTCTTCCGCGCTTCAAAGCTCCGACAACGCTCCTCACCGACATTCTGCAGCACAATATTACCGCGATGACTTCGGCCAATTCTGCTCCGGCTCGCGCGGTGAATAACATTTCTACCCCCGCTAACGCCAAGGCGCTCGGAACTTCGCCCGGGGGAACCGACCGACGTCAGAAACGTCCTGCTGAGGACAATTTTGGCGAGGGCCCCTCGGCAGTCGAGATTCTGCTCGGCGGCAGTCACGCTGCTCCAGAAGAAACTCGCGCGGCTGCATTGCAGCCGCGCGTGCAGGCAACGGAAGTCCACGCGCCAGCCCGAGGCGCGTCGCCTGCAGGCCAGGCGGGCCCCACCACCCAGCACGCGCCTGCCGCCGACCCCGCGCCAACCGCCGCCGCCCCCACCTTGACTGCGCACCAGCTGCAAGCGCTTTTGGCGCTGTTACAGCAGCAAGCTCCTGCTGTTACAGTCGGAACCTCATCCGATAACGCTGCACCTACGACCAATTTTAACAAAAAGAAAGAAATGGCTACCCATCCTCGCACGCCCAAGGCTCCCCGCGCCGACGACCAGCCCCCGGCACCAACTCCCGCACCCGCTGACAACCCCGATGACAGCGACGACTCCGAAAATGACGATGGTGAGGGTCCCGCCAACATTGCTCGTCGTCGCATCCTCGCACCCGCCCCCCCCCTTCCCCCCCTTGGCCCCACGCCCGCAGCTACTACCTTCATGCGCAAGGGCGTACGCGACCAGGCCGAGGTCTTCACTGCCATCGAAGCGTACCTGAAGTATATCGACTTCAAGCTGCAGCACGGCGACGTCGTCGGCGCACTCAACAACGTAAAGGATATCGAAATACTTATTAATAAGCGTTTCCAAGTCCTTCTCGTTGCGGACGAAGCCGGTTTCGAGGCCGCCGACCGGTTCCAACTCTATCAGTCCAAAAGTGTCCTGACATCCCGCTCCTACAAGCTGGCGGTCGCGGATGTGGCAGCGCTCAAGCGTGCACGCCTCGGCTATACGCGCGGCGGCCGTCCCGGTGGTCGCGACACGGACTCGGACATCAAGGGCTCCCCCCCTGCTACGTGCCAGTAGCCGCGCTTCAAGGGAGTCTGCTTTCGCTGTGGCCAACCAGGCCACATGGCCAATGCATGCCACATGGGAGGGCGTGGTGCGCAAGGTCCCTCACCGGTGGTGTGAGCGGTTGATAGGGCGGCGCCCTTTCCCACATGCAAGAGGCATAGTGGGTTGCACGGTAGGTGCATGGCCGGTGGCCAGCCTTTTGCCAAAGTCAAGGAGTCTTCGCTGACTAGGGTGGCCCTTGGGGACAGCAAAGGCTGATAGGCCTAGGCTTGTAATAATTCCTATGATTGAATTAAAGGCTCGACCGTGTCACGGCCATCCGTTTTTTTCAAAAAAAAAAAAAAAACCCTTGAGGGGGTTGGGGGGAGGGAGGGGGCTACAAAACCCAGTCAACACGGCTGGTCAGCCTTGAGCATGGCCTCCAACCCCTCACTTTTTTCTTTGCCAACTACGCAACACGCCCCGAGAGCTAACCATGGAGGCACGCTCGGCACCCAACAAAATGGTGCGCACGCACGCACTCGGAGATGCTCTATTTAAGAGCCAAGGACAGAGTCTAGGAGCTCAAAGCTAACACAAAGAGTGGCCCAAACAAGGAGAGCAAAAGAAGGAGGAGGAAGAAATGTAACTCAACCACCAACGAGCACCAACGTGCTTAAAGAAATGTTCACGTACGAGGGTCTGAATCGTGTAGCCGAGCTCATCCGCCGAGATGACTGGATGTTTTCCATCGACCTGAAATCTGGATACCATCATGTCGAGATTCACCCTTCGTGTTGGCAGTTTTTGGGCTTCCAGTTCGAAGGCATCTACTACTCCTTTCGGTCACTGCCGTTCGGCCTTGCAACTGCTCCATTCGTTTTCACCCAACTAATTAAACAACTTGCCAAGCGATGGCGGGCAAGCGGCGTTCGAGTGGTCCCGTATGTCGACGACCTATTATTTCTCTGCGATTCCCACCAGCAAGCGTGCTCGACTCGTACGACAGTCCTCCAGGACCTTAACGCAGCTGGCTTCGTCATTAACGGCAAAAAATCGCACCTCCACCCCTCGCGTCAGCTTCGCTTCCTCGGATTGGAAATCGATTCCACCCGCGGCACGTTCTCCGTCGGACTCGAGCGAAGGGCTCAACTCTTAACCACGCTTGAGGCCTTGATAACCCAAGGACAATTAGGAAGGCATATTCCCGTTCGATCCCTCACAAGAGTTACAGGCATGCTCGCCTCTATGGCCCTAGCACTGGGCGCGACGGCACGAGCATTCAGCCACGAACTCCTGCGACTTATTGCCGACGCAACGTCCTGGCACTCCAAGGTCCTCCTCCACCCAGCAGCGGTGGACGAGCTATGTTTCTGGCTGGCGCAATTCGACAAATTTAACGGCGCCCCATTTCATCTCAGTCACCAGTTCGACGCCGTCATCCACGTGGATGCAAGCGCCCACAGTTGGGGCGCCATCCTCACGCCGCTCCCGGGGATCCCAATAGAAGCAAGCTCCCGCATGCCAGAAGACCTCCTACACACTTCCAGCACCCGAAGGGAACTCGAAGGTGTACTGTGGGCACTAAGAACCTTTGACACCCACATCTCCAAACGGCACGTGTTAGTTCGTGTGGACAACCAGGGGGTTGTATTCATACTGCGCAAAGGCGGCTCCAGCATCCCTGCACTCACACTACTTTGCCAGGCGATCATCGACCTTTGCTTAAAAAACCGGACACGCCTTGCCATCGAATGGATTCCCCGGGAGCTGAACGCGCACGCTGACGAACTCTCCAAAGTCCAGGACCGAGATGATTACTCACTCAAATCCCCATGGTTCCGACTCCTCGACCGCCGCCTGGGGCCTCACTCTGTCGACCTATTCGCGAATGTTCACAACGCTCAACTGGGGCGCTTCTGCTCCAAGATTCCTCACCCCAAGGCCACAGCAGTTGACGCCTTCTCGTTCAGCTGGCATGATGAACGCGGCTTCGCGTTTCCCCCCCCCCACCTCATCCCGGCTACTCTGCGCCACGCCCAACGCACCCACGCCGAGTTGACGTTGGTCATTCCCGAGTGGCCAGGAGCCTCTTGGTGGCCCCTACTGCAGCCAGCACCACGAACCTGGGCACGAGAAGTAAAGGCACATATTCCCCTCACTCAAGGCAGCCAGTGCCTATCCCCAGGCACACACTCACTCGCCTTTGCTGGTCTCGGTTTTCCCAATAGCCCGATCATTGCGTTGCATGTGACATATAAAATATAACCCCACCGTGCCTGGGCTCTCTGTATTTCAGGCTTATTATCAAAACTACAGACACAGCTACTTCGGGTAATCAGTCATGTCCGCGCGCCATCCACCATAAGGACCTACGAGCCGTATTGGCTCAAGTTCCGCTCCTTTTGCACGAAGGTCAAGCTGAGCTACCTGCCTGCCACAGACACCACTCTAGCGCTCTACCTTGTCTATGCCCTCAACAATCAGGCCACAGTATCCGCCATATCCCTTACGTGCTCCGCCGTCGCATTTGCACATCGGATGACCGGAGAACCCTCTCCCACTAGCGGGCCTTTCACTTCACAAGTTCGTGAATTCTCCAAACGCCACGGCCCGTGCACCACCAGGACGAAGGAACCCTTGTCGCTCCACCAGGTGCACGCCATGGCACACCCCTTCCTTGAGTCGAGCAGCCCGGCAGAATATCAGAAAGGACTGATCCCACTCCTCATGTTCGCGGCATTCCTCCGCTACTCCGACCTCGTCTCCATCCAGTGGAACGACATCCACTTCGACGAGGAGTCTATGTGGATCCTAATCCCGCACTCCAAGACGGATCAAGACGGCAAGGGCTCATGGATCCCAGTTGCTCCCACAACTGGGCCTTACTGCCCAGTCCGTTGCACCCAACGGTTTCTGCAACTTGCGGGACACCCCACCACCCCGCATGGACCATTGATCCGTGTCTTTGGCACCAGCGGCAGGGCAACCCCTCACGACAGCGCTCCGTCATACACAACCATCCGCAACTGGTGCCTCGAAGCCTTCGCCAAGGCTGGGCTTGACAACAGACACCTCGGCACTCACTCCTTCCGTAAGGGCGCCGCAACTGCGGCAGCTAACTTGGGGATCCCTGACCGGCTCTTCAAGCGACTCGGTCGCTGGCGCAGCGATACGGCCAAAGATCTCTACGTCACCATTGCGCAGGACCAGCTCCTTGCGGCATCCACACGCATCCAAGACCCGTCCGCCGCTCCATCGCCCAGACATCACCAGCTCTCCATCGAGCGACACCGCCAGCCCCTGCTTCACATGCCTCAGAAGACCCATATGAAATGAAGCACGCTGCCTTTGCCAAGGTGACCCAAGCAAGCTTTCACAATATGTAATTTTTTGAAAACGTGTAACACTTTCTAAAAAATGTGTATTGTGAAAGTGTAGCGAGGGCCAACGCAGCAAGGTCAGCGTCGAAGCGCTACTCACCCTCTTTTGCCTACAAAAGAGGGACGTGAGGCCATTCGACCTCACCCACGTTCTTCATTTCTAGTTCCAGTTTCGTTTTCCCCACCCACCCACCCTATTGGACGGTGTAGTCTATTGGACGAGAACCATGTACTGTAGCCCATATGAAATGAAGCACGCTGCCTTTGCCAAGGTGACCCAAGCAAGCTTTCACAATCACCCGATTCCTCCTCCGTTCCCCATCCATAAGGCTCCCCGTCTGAACCTCTCTGAAGCTAGGAGGTACTTCCAGTAGGGCGCGGTACTTTAGGGTCGAAACAGCTGGTTTTCAAACTCTCACCACTCTGTACGCCGCCTTTATTTGACAGAATGAATCTAAACCGCCTTCAACCCTTCTTGAAGCCCAGAAAAATAGCCAGTTTGAACCCAAGGTACCACGCCCTTACATCCGCCATAGCCTTGTTCCATCAGTCTCTGCTACAAACACACAGGACTGTATGTCATGCAGCAGTCTTCTCACAGCTTCGCCGCCTCACAGCTTCACCGCCTCAAAGCTTTGCAGCAGGTCTGGCCACTACGCCTACCTCTATCTCTGTCTCTCCCTCCCACACACCGTCAACGCCACCTTCATCAGCAAGTTTTGAGGCGCCTCAAAAGTCCCTCCCACACACCGTCAGCGCCACCTTCATCAGCAAGTCTCCTTGCTTCCTCATCTCCCCCATCCTCCTCCTCCTCTTCCCTGTCCCCTCTACTTGTTTCGTCATCTACATAACAGTTTATACAGCAGCAGTCGCATCACAGCTTTGAAGCAGGTATGGCCACTATGCCTTCCTCTGTCTCACTCTCCCACACACTACTGACCTCCTCTTCCCCATTAATATCACTCGTCTCCTCCTCTTCCCTTTCCCCATCCATGAGGCTCCTCGTTTGAGCCTCTCTGAAGCTCGGAGGGGCTTCCATCAGCCGCAGCCTGTCCTTCTGGGGGTCAGCCTCCGCTATAATCACATCCACCGAGTCACCCACACGCACATCCCGCTGCATTCTCATTACAGTCTCCATTCCCACCTGTTAGTGAAACAGCAAGGGATGCGGAGAACAGAGCGGTGAAGAGGGGTGAAGATGGGAGAAGGGCAGCGATGGGGATCAGCCTCCGCTGTAATCGCATCCACTGAGCCACCCACTCGCACGCCCCCCTGCATTCGCATTACCATCTCCATTCCCACCTCTGGGGCAAAAAGGGATGCGGAAAAGAGAGGCACAAGGGAGATCACCCACAAACACTCTCCTCCTCTACCAGCATCAGCACCTGCAGGCTCCCATTGTTCCTCACAGGCTGCAATTTTTTAGGCGCCTCAAAAATCGCCTGCAGGCTCCCATCGTTCCTCACGGGCTGCAATTTTTTAGGCGCCTCAAGAATCGCCTGCAGGCTCCCATCGTTCCTCACGGGCTGCAATTTTTTTGGCGCCTCAAGAATCGCCTGCAGGTTCCCATCGTTCCTCATGGGCTGCAACTTCAGATTTCCCAAATACTCCACAACGTTCCGTTTGCTTTTGAGTCGACTCAAAAGCAGACCCAAATAGTCCACAACGTTCCGTTTGCTTTTGAGTCGACTCAAAAGCAGACCCAAATAGTCCACAACGTTCCGTTTCCCCACCCACTTTCCATCCCCCCCCCTCCTCCCCCTTTCCCCCCCCACTCCTCCCATACATCCCCCTCTTCTACCAGCATCAGAGCCAGCGGACTGCCATCAGCCCTTCTGAACCCTTACCTTACAATTCCCATCCTGGTCCCCCCATCTCCCTCCTCCCTCTCTACCCACACTCCCCCCCCCCCTCCCCCCCTTCACCCACCTCCTCCACCAGCATGAGTGCGAGCGGGCTGCCATCGGCCACGAGTCATTGCCTATACACTCCCATCCTCTTTCCCCCCACCCCCCTCTATCCACCTTCCTCACACACAACCAACCACCCCCCCCCCTTGACCCACCTCCTCCACCAGCATCAGCGCCAGCGGGCTCCCATCGGCCCTGAGCCACTTGAGCATGACAGCTGTCAGCACGGTATTGGCCGGGAGCCTCCTCAGGTACTCCTGCAGCCAGTAGCGCTCTACCGCGTCCTCGGCCCGCCGCACCTCGCGCTGCCGGGCGCCGCAGTGAGATACGATTGTGTCCAGGTCCGATACGGTCAGTGGGGGCGGCTCTCCTCGTAGCAGGGCTTTTACCTGGTGCGCAGGGAGAACAAGTGGGGGAGCGAGTGGGGGAAAGAGTGGGAGAGGGAGCGGGTATGCGGAGCAGTGAGATACGATTGTGTCCAGATCCGATACGGTCAGTGGGGGGGGCGGTTCACCCTACAGCAGGGCTGTCACCTGTTGTGACTTGGGGAAAGAGTGGGAGAGGGAGTGGGAGAGGGAGTGGGAGAGCGAGTGGGAGAGGGAGTGGGAGAGGGAGCGGGAGAGGGAGCGGGAGAGGGATTGGGAGAGGGAGTGGGAGAGGGAGTGGGAGAGGGAGTGGGAGAGGGAGTGGGAGAGGGAGTGGGAGAGGGAGTGGAGGAAAGAGTGGAGGAGGGAGTGGGTAAGTGACGCAGTGAGATGCGATTGTACCCAGATCTGTTCAGATCGCAGTGAGCTAGCAGAGGAGCTTCACCCGAGCGCAAGAAAAGCAGAAGTCATGCCTCATACCTGGCAGTGGGAGCACACACTGTGCCTCATACCTGGTAGTGAGCCAGCAGGTCCGAGTATCTGCGGATGGGCGACGAGAACTGCACATAGCCCTGCAGCCCGAGCCCAGCATGGGGTATGGGCCCAGAGCACTTGATCTCACTGCGACTCATAAACGACCTCAAGTGCACCGCCCTGCATGGCCCCTCTGGTAACGCCTGCAGATCCTCCTCATCCTCCTCAGTCATCCGGTCCGGGGGCCCCTGGCCCCGGTACGGCAAGGGCAGGTCACGTTCGGCGCCGAACCTAGCCACGGCTTCGCCGCACAGCACCATAGCTTCGGACACGAGCCTCCGGGACGGATCGGACTGGTCGATTGTGCTGACCGAGATTTCCGGGCAGTGTGACGAGGCGGCGGTTACTTTGATGTCGGATTCGGGGATGGAAATATCTGCTGCCCCATTTTGCATGCGGTAACGTAACCTTCCCGTGGCGATGTCTGATAGGAGGAGGAGCTCTGGCTCATGCTCGCCCGCCATTGCAAGCATTTCGGGCAGCTGGTCGTAGGCCAGGCGGTAAGTCGGGCAGATGAAAGAATTCATGATGTCCACATCATCGATGCTGTGTGATTTGGGGGCAGAAGAAAAAGAATAATTGGTGGGGAGGAAGAGGGGGGAAGAGAGAAGAAAAGGCAACTGTGAATCGAACGAGGTGAGACTCGAGTCTCGACTCACTCACTCACTAGCTCGCTCGCTCTCAGCTCAGCTCAGCTCAGCTCAGCTCAGCTCAGCTCAGCTCAGCTCAGCTCAGCTCAGCTCAGCTCAGCTCAGCTCAGCTCAGCTCAGCTCAGCTCAGCTCACTTCCACGATCAATTAATTCGCTCCCTTCCCTTGCCCCATCCCCCAACCACCGACCCACCACATACCTGAAACGGTTTTTGAGTCGACTAAAAAATCCAGAATCAAGTCATTCGCTCACTTGTCCCATCCCCCAACCCCCAACCCCCAACCACCAACCACCAACCACCAACCACATACCTGAAATCGGGGCTCAATGTGACGACTACAGTAACAGCGCAGACGGCATTCGAAAACTCCCCAGCAGCACCACCATCAGCAGCAGCAGCAGCAGGAGGAAGAGAGAGACTCATAGGGCCAGCAGCAAGCGAAAACGGAATCATAGGCACGGCTCCCGTGGCCAGATACGCTGACGTGGCTCTTTTCCGAGCCTCCGTGTCGAGCCTGTCGCCGGGCCTCATCCAGCGGCTCGGGTCTGCCACATGGATCCAAACCTTGATCCGCCCATCCGGGAGGGTTTCTGCACTCAGCCCATCGTCTACTTCTACTGTGTCGTACGAATCGATGGTGTAGACCTTGAGATGTGTTAAGTCGACACGAATGCCCTGGAGGGGGAAGCGGGGGGAGGAGAGGGGAGATGAGATGAGTCGAAACGAACCAAGGAAAGGCGATGCTAGAGGCCCCTCGACGCTCAACCCATCGTCCACCTCTACTGTGTCGTACGAATCGATGGTGTAGACCAGGAGATGCTTCAAGTTGACACGAATGCTCTGGAGGAGTAAGAAGGGAGGGAGGAGGGGGTTGGGGGCAACAGAGGGAAAGGAGGGGGTTGGGGGCAACATAGGGAAAGGAGGGGGTTGGGGGCAACAGAGGGAAAGGAGGGGGTTGGGGGCAACATAGGGAAAGGAGGGGGTTGGGGGCAACAGAGGGAAAGGAGGGGGTTGGGGGCAACATAGGGAAAGGAGGGGGTTGGGGGCAACAGAGGGAAAGGAGGGGGTTGGGGGCAACATAGGGAAAGGAGGGGGTTGGGGGCAACATAGGGAAAGTTTGGTTTGGTGGCCACTCAACCTGTTGTCTGCGTCTACAAGTGTTGTATGCATGGATAGTACACTTTGAGATGTGCTAAGTCAACACATATGCTTTGATTTGAAGAGCACAACATTCCTCATCCAGGTCCGGGGGGGGGTTTGCTGCGAGACTAGCTAGCAGAGTAAGTGATTTTTTAGTCGACTAAAAAATCACTTTGAGATGTGTTGAGTCAAGACATATGCCCTGAAGAACCCAGCGCACTTCATCTGGGTCTGGTGGGGGGTTAGCCGCGAGACTAGATGTGATAACAGACTAAGGGATGGGGGTTAGCCGCGAGACTAGATGTGATAACAGACTAAGGGATGGGGGTTAGCCGCGAGACTAGATGTGATAACAGACTAAGGGATGGGGGTTAGCCGCGAGACTAGATGTGATAACAGACTAAGGGATGGGGGTTAGCCGCGAGACTAGATGTGATAACAGACTAAGGGATGGGGGTTAGCCGCGAGACTAGATGTGATAACAGACTAAGGGATGGGGGTTAGCCGCGAGACTAGATGTGATAACAGACTAAGGGATGGGGGTTAGCCGCGAGACTAGATGTGATAACAGACTAAGGGATGGGGGTTAGCCGCGAGACTAGATGTGATAACAGACTAAGGGATGGGGGTTAGCCGCGAGACTAGATGTGATAACAGACTAAGGGATGGGGAGGGCGGGCGGGTGCGGGGGCTGTGTCGCGAACATCAGACGTACCTCGTCTGGGTCCGGAGGGGAGTTTGCAGCGCGACTAGCAGAGTAAGCCGCAACGCTAAACGGGAAGCTGCCCGGCACGGCAGAGGCAGCGAGGCGGAAAGCATGGGCGTGGAAGGAAAGGGCGGGGCGGGGAGAAGGGCACCGAGCAGCACCAGACGTACCTCGTCCGGGTCCGGAGGGGGGTTTGCCGCGAGATCAGCAGAATAAGCGGAGGAGGGTTGGGAAGGTCGGAAGTCTGGGGTCGGAAGTCTGGGGTCGGAAGTCTGGGGTCGGAAGTCTGGGGTCCGAAGTCTGGGGTCCGAAGTCTGGGGTCCGAAGTCTGGGGTTGGCGCACCTCGTCTGGGTCCGGAGGGGGGTTTGCAGCGAGACTAGCGCAGTAAGCCGCAACGCTTTTCAGGAAGCTTCCCCCTGTACCTCGTAAGAGCAGCACCCACTGTACCTCGTAGCACCTCGGAACCAGACGCACCTCGTCTGGGTCTGGAGGGGGGTTTGCAGCAAGACTAGCGCAGTAGGTAGAAACGCTCTTGGGAAAGCTTGCTGGCACGGCAGATGCAGCAAGGCGGAAGGCATGGGCGTGGAAGGGGAGAGCGCCGATGCGAACGAGCAGGTCACAGGCCGCTTCTGGGGTTCGCACACAGCTTAGGAGCTGCAGGGACTGCAAAAGTCAAAGGGAGGGGTGGGGGGGGGGGAGGGGGGAGAAGGGGGGGGAAGGGGGGAGGGGGGGGGATGTAGGAGGCAGAGGCAGCAAGGCGGTAGGTAGGCATGGGCGCGGAAGGGGAGAGCGCTAATGCGAGCGACCAGGTCACAGGCTGCTTCTGGCGTTCAGGTGCAGCCCAGGAGCTGCAGGGACTGCAAAGCCCACAAGTGGGGGAATAGGGGCGACAGAGGCAGACAGAGGAAGGGTGGACAAGTAGGGGAGACAGAGGCACCGCGGCGGATGGCATGGGCGTGGAAGGGAAGGGTGTCAATGCGAGGGGGTCACAGGCTGCACCTGGTGTTGACTCAAAAATCATCAAGGGAAAGGTGTCAATGCGAAGGGGTCACAGGCTGCTTCTGGTGTTCGAGTGCGCCCGAGGAGTTGCTAGCAGGGACGGGAAGAACTATGAGTGGGTTTGTGAGACGCCTCTAAAAATTGTTTTGAGTGCACCCGAGGAGTTGCTAGCAGGGATGGGAATGGAAGAGCGATGAGTGGGGGGATGGGATGCGTGGAGGGGTAGAGGGGTGGGGGGGGTAAAAAGGCACACATTGAGGCATTGAGGCATTGAGGCATTGAGGCATTGAGGCATTGAGGCATTGAGGCATTGAGGCATTGAGGCATTGAGGCATTGAGGCATTGAGGCATTGAGGCATTGAGGCATTGAGGCATTGAGGCATTGAGGCATTGAGGCATTGAGGCATTGAGGCATTGAGGCATTGAGGCATTGAGGCATTGAGGCATTGAGGCATTGAGGCATTGAGGCATTGAGGCATTGAGGCATTGAGGCATTGAGGCATTGAGGCATTGAGGCATTGAGGCATTGAGGCATTGAGGCATTGAGGCATTGAGGCATTGAGGCATTGAGGCATTGAGGCATTGAGGCATTGAGGCATTGAGGCATTGAGGCATTGAGGCATTGAGGCATTGAGGCATTGAGGCATTGAGGCATTGAGGCATTGAGGCATTGAGGCATTGAGGCATTGAGGCATTGAGGCATTGAGGCATTGAGGCATTGAGGCATTGAGGCATTGAGGCATTGAGGCATTGAGGCATTGAGGCATTGAGGCATTGAGGCATTGAGGCATTGAGTTGAGGCATTGAGGCATTGAGGCATTGAGGCATTGAGGCATTGAGGCATTGAGGCATTGAGGCATTGAGGCATGAGGCATTGAGGCATTGAGGCATTGAGGCATTGAGGCATTGAGGCATTGAGGCATTGAGGCATTGAGGCATTGAGGCATTGAGGCATTGAGGCATTGAGGCATTGAGGCATTGAGGCATTGAGGCATTGAGGCATTGAGGCATTGAGGCATTGAGGCATTGAGGCATTGAGGCATTGAGGCATTGAGGCATTGAGGCATTGAGGCGTGGGCGTGGGGAGGGAAGGGGACGCGGATCACGCAATCCTCCCTAGAATGAATCCTTGGGAAAGAAGGAAGGGAGATTGGGCATAGCTCAAACGCCGAAAGAAGGGAAGGGAGTCAGCCAATCCCTTCCTTCCTACTACCAATGCCTCTCACACTCCCTCATCTTCCTGCCCCCCTTTTGAGTCGACTCGAAAGAAGGGAAGGGAGTCAGCCAATCCCTTCCTTCCTACTACCTATGTCCCTCACACTCCCTCATACTCCCTCATACTCCCTCATACTCCCTCACACTCCCTCATCCTCCTGCCTGCCTCTCCATCTCTGCACGCACCTCTTCAGCCAATGCCGAGTTGCCACCTGGCTTCTCTTCCGCATAATCCAAAAGCGCCTGCACCCGTGCAGCCAGTCCCGGACCCCCACGCCCACGCCCAACCCCCTGCCCCTGCCCCCCATGCACATGCCCATGCCCATCCCCCTCTCCCCCCCCTGCTTCACCCCCCTCCCCTGCCTCTCCTTGCTCTATCCGCTCTCTCCAAACTTCTGGCGTTGGTTTTTGCCCTGGTGGCAATCGCAGTGCTTCTCGAATGCTGGTCACGAATTCCTCTTGCTCTGCCCTCACTGCTGCCTCTGCTGCTGCTTGCTTCCTTAGCTGCTCCACCTGGTGGGTTGAGGGAAGGGAAGAGGTGATGAAGCAACAAGGTAGTGCAGTTGCCCCGGGGCAATCTCAATGCTTCTCGAATGCTGGTCACGAATTCCTCCTGCTCTGCCCTCACTGCTGCCTGCTTCCTCAGCTGCTCCACCTGGTGGGTTGGCAAGAGGGGAGAGTGTACGGAATAAATCTTCTATACCAAAAAGGGCTTTTTGCTTCAAGGCCAATCGCAGTGCTTCTCCAACGCTGGCCACAAACTCCTCTTGCTCTGCCCTCACTGCTGCCTCTGCTGCTGCTTGCTTCCTTAGCTGCTTTACCTGGTGGGTTCATCCGGACTCCGAGCACAAGGGGAATTACAAAAGCTTTCACTGTCCCTTCTGCATCTCCTGCTGCCGACACTGAGGCACAGATTTTCCCGTTCACAGATTTTCTTTATTTATTTATTTATTTATTCCTACAATGATAAAACTAACAGAACCTTGTTCCTACATGGGCTGGAGGGCGAAGCTCAAAGGAGTGAGCCATAGACGGAGCTTGCTTGAAGAATATTTGGTCGGTAGTCAGCAGGCGGTGGGCTTGAGGCACATCAGCACCTTGTCTGTCCCTTCCTACCTGCTTTTGAGTCGAATCAAAAGCATGCCACGGGCTTGAGGCACCTCTCAGCACCTTGGGCCGAAGCTCGAAGGAGTGAGCCATAGACCGAAAGTCAGCAGGCGATGGGCTTGAGGCACGACAGAACCTTGTCCGTACCTGTGCACATCACCACCTTGTTCGTTCGTACCTGTGTTGGAGGGCGAAGCTCGAAGGAGTGCGCCATAGATCGAACTCGCTTGAAGAAGATCCGGTCGGCAGTCAGCAGGCGGTGGGCGGCAAAGTGGGGAATCAGGGGGTCCTCAGCCTCTCCAAAGGCGATCTGGCGTGCAAGGAGTGGAAGGGAGAGGGTATAAGTCAGGGAGATGGTATCAGTAACGGGAAGGTAAAAGGAGGGCTATGCGGTCGGCAGTCAGCAGGCGATGGGAGGCAAACTGGGGGATGAGCGGATCCTCCAACTCTCCACAGGCAATCTGGCACATACAGATAGTAAGACAGAATGAGTTGGCGGGTGTTGAGGTCTAGGGGGGTAAGGGGGAAAATAGGGGGGGGGGGGGTAGGGGGAAGAGGTGTGGGAGATTCTGTACAGAGAGGGTTGGTAAGGAGGAGTGGGAGTACTAGGGAGGAGCCAAACGGGAGAGAATGCGAGTCCCTAACAACACGGGCATGGGCAGCAGACGCGGTTGGGGCAGGAGGGGAACAGAATGACTGAGAGGTATTTTTGAGAATTCTCAGGGTAGTTTTTAGATTGCAGGGTATTTTGTAGAATTCTAAAAACTACCCTGCAGATGCGGTTGGGGCAGGGGGGGGGGAGCAGAAGGACTGTGAGGAATAGAATGAGCAGCAAACTCCTGCGAGGTGACTGGGCTGCTCGGAGGGAAACATTTCTGAGTCGACTCAAAAATCCTGCGAGGTGACTGTGGGCTGCTCGGAGGGAAACATCTCCCACACCCACCCATCTATGCGGATCGGTTGTGATACTGGATATCACTATAGCGAGTATGGGAACATGGAGAGGCGAATGCGTGTAGGTTTACCTCGGCAAACTCCTGGGTGGTGACCATGGGCTGCTCCGAGAGAAACACCTCCCACGCTTTCTGTGATGGTGAACACTGGATATCCTTATAGCGAGTACGAAATCAGAGCAAGGCGAATGAGTGTAGGTTTACCTCTGCAAACTCAAGGGTGGTGACTGTGGGCTGCTCGGGGAGAAACATCTCCCACACCATCTCCAGAAGGGAGGAATCCGCCTGGCGTTTGGGGAAGACAAAAAGGGGGATAATACACACGTTGGGAGTGGGACATAGTCCTCCTGGGTGGAGACTGTGGGCTGCTCGGGGAGAAACATCGCCCACACCATCTCCAGCAGTGATGCATCAGTCTGAGGTTCAGTGAAAAGAGAGAGAGGGAGAGGGAGAGGGAGAGGGAGAGGGAGAGGGAGAGGGAGAGGGAGAGGGAGAGAGAGAGGGAGAGGGAGAGGGAGAGGGAGAGAGAGAGGGAGAGGGAAACAAGGAACAAGGCCGTTGCTTGCACGCAGGCTAGGGCTAACCATTAGCGAGTCGCCAGAGTTTGGAGACGTTTCAAAACTAGGGTTGGAGGGATGGAGTGTGCATTGTTGCAGTGCGCTGCATGGGCGCGCTGCATGGGTGCGCTGCATGGACGCACTGCATGGGTGCGCTGCATGGGTGCGCTGCATGGACGCACTGCATGGACGTAGGCTAGGGCCAACCATTAGCGAGTCACCAGAGTTTGGAGACGTCTCAAAACTAGGATTGGAGGAATGGAGTGTGCATTGTTGCAGTGCGCTGCATGGACGCACTGCATGGACGCGCTGCATGGACGCATTGCATGGACGCGCTGCATGGACGCACTGCATGGACGTAGGCTAGGGCTAACCATTAGCGAGTCACCAGAGTTTGGAGACGTCTCAAAACCAGATTTGGAGGAATGGAGGGTGCATCGTGGCACTGCGTGGACGCAGGTTAGGGCTAACCACTAGCGAGTCGACGGAGGAGAGGAAAGGCGGCTGGCATTTGAGTAAGAGGAGGAAAACCAACTAACCAACGAACTAACCGACTAACCAACTAACCAACTAACCAACGAACTAACCAACTAACCAACTAACCAACAAACTAACCGACTAACCAACTAACCAACTAACCAACGAACTAACCGACTAACCAACTAACCAACTAACCAACGAACTAACCGACTAACCAACTAACCATTAGAGATTCGACGGAGGAGAGGAAGGACGGTAGATCAGCAGCGTTGAAATCCTCCTCCCCCACCTCCACAAACGTGAGCTGCTGCGGCCGCACTGAGAACGTGTTGCCGTTCTGTGCACCAAGTGGCAAGAGAGCAGAGGGGGAAGAGGGGAGGGGGAAGAGGAGAGAACAAGGATGGTGAATCAGCACTGCAAAGGTCCGCCGCCCCCCCCCCCCCCCCCCACTTCCACAAACGTCAGCTGCTGAGCCCCACTGAGAACGCGGTGATGTTGTGTGCAGATTAAGGAGGGAGGGATGCTATGAGAGGAGAGAGAGAGTGCATGAAAGGACGGCCAGACCACCACCCCTCCAACATGCAAAATACGTGGCTCTCTGGTGCTCCTTTCCAGCTGTAACCAAACTTCCCTCGTACAGCAGTTACACGTACATGTTTCTGTTTCAATAACGCGTACCAAATCCTGGAGCAATCAAGCGTTCCTGATCCATGACGATCCAGTTCTTCTTCCCTTCAGGCCGGACCACCACCCCCACCACGTGTACTTCTTCCCTTCAGGCCGGACCACCACCCCCATCACGTGCCTCTGGTGCTTCTTCTCGAATTTTACCAGGGCCCCCTCTTATTCCAATAACGCGTACCTGTTCCAATCTTATAACGCGTACCTGATCCATAACGATCCAGTTCTTCTTCCCCTCAGGCCGGACCACCACCCCCACCACGTGTCTCTGGTGCTCCTTCTCGAATTCTACCAGAGCTCCTTTCTTCGCCCTCTCACTCAACGACCCGCCCCCTGCTCCGCTATTAGCAGACCCGCTACCAGCAGCAGCTGCTACATGCCCGAGGGTAGGTCTCCCACCCTTACTGCTCGTTCTGCTGCTTTTGGTACCGGCGCTAGCGGCCCCAAAACCGCCTTTTCTGCTGCTCGAGAATCCAGCTGCAAAACCTCGGCTGCTGCTGCTGCTGCTGCCAATGCTGCTGCCAGTGCTGCTATTACTCCTGCTGTTGATGCTGCTACGACTGATGGTGCCGTGGATCAGAGTGGACGAATAAGAAGCACCCAGCGACGTGGCAGCGGCTACAGGCGAATTCCCTCTACCTACATCTGGTTGCGGTACAGCGGATTGGCAAACAGCTGAACGAGCTACAGCCGGTTGAGAAGCGGCTGAACGAGCTACAGCCGGTTGAGAAACGGCTGAACGAGCTACAGCCGGCTGGGAGACGGCTGAACGAGCTACAGCCGGTTGGGAGACGACTGAACGAGCTACAGCCGATACAATTGAACGAGCTACAGCCGATTGAAAAACGGCTGGATCAACTACACCCGGTTGGGAAACCGGGAGAACCGTCGAGCTGTAGCCTACACCCCGTTGCGCTACAGCCGGTCTGTTCCAGGCAAACCGGGATGCCTGGTCCTTGCGGGATGTAGCTGTTCTAGCGGCTGTAGTAGCTGCAGGCGTCTGAACGGCTGCACCTGTTCTAACCGCTAAAGCTGTTAAATCGGCTGTAGCGGCTGTAGCGGTTGTTGCTACAGTAGCTGTTGTAAGGGCTGTTGCCGCCCTAGCCGCTGAAGCTGGTCTAACGGCTGTAGCCATTCTAGAGGCTGTAGCAGTGGTAGCTGCTCTGCCGGCTGTATCCGTACCAGCCGATTTGGCTGTTCTACCGGCGGTGCCGGCTGTAGCTGTTCGAGCGGCTGTAGCGGATTGTCTGCGCGCTGAAGCTGCTGTAGCCGCCGCTGCCGCTGCTGCGAGACGGAACATGGGCCCACCGCAATCGTCGCCGGAGACCCTGAGAGATCTGACGGCTCTGACGGCCCTTGTGGGCGATCGGACGGCTCTAGCGTACGATCCGCTCCTCCTGCGGGGGGAAACGCCGCCTGCGGAAACGGATGCGGAAGCCGCGGTGGCGCAAGCGGAAACGGACGCGGAGGCGGAAGCGGAGGAGGCACAAGCGGAGGCGCAGGCGGAAGTGGTTGCGGAAGCGGCAGGGAGGTTGGTCCTACTGCCGGCGAGTAGCGCTTGATGCGGCGCGACGACCGGCCTCATGTCGCCGTCACTCCGTGAGACAAAAACTCACCCCGTTGGTAAATGTTTAATTCCGGGGGTCGACTTAGTCACTCAGAAACCAGAAACTCACTCCGTCTGGATCTCACTTCTTTTAGAACGTGCAACTACAACCAATCTACAGATGTCGTGAACGTTCAATGTCGGAGGCCTACGGCGCGTCTTTAAACGTTACTAGAGAATCTAACACTCCCCCGAGTAACGCGCGACGAGCAGATATATCAATGTGGCTTTCAGGTAATCGATCGATTAAGCAGCAACACTGTCAGCTTCGAAGCGCTTGCTCTGAGATACTCCGGTTTGAAGACGCGTGATGGACGTCTAAGACGAAGATTGAAGCTGAAGGAAGGTGAACTAACGGCAAGGCGATAGAGGTAGTAGTGCGAGCGAGCCTCCTAGGCTGTGAATCTGCTATGGGAGGCTGTGGTTGGTAAATCAGCCTCCTAGGTTCGGGGATCAGCAGCTTAGGGATTAGCCAAGCGTCGGGATTGCCTTGCTCCACGCGGCGCTCTCTCAAAAGTTACAGGCGCGCTGATGTGTAAGGCGCTGGTTTGTTGGAATTTCGACTTTGCTACATTTGATAGCATTTGGATAATGCGGTGTATATCGGTTTCGTGTACTTGTAACGACGATTTTTCGGGAAAATTCCGACAGACCCATCGCGAGAGTTCGCAAATAATTTCCTCCATTGGCAGCTCGTATGGGAGCGTGCGCCAGGGTTTTTAGAAACCCAGAATTCTCCGCCTCAACCTCGGTGTCACCGCACCTTCTGCCACACGCAATGGTGCCCCCAGCCCGCGGCAACTCCCCCGACCCCAAGGTTGAGTGCGCGCCAGCCCTATGCCAGCGCCAGTTGGGTGGAAGTCGGCCGCGCGCCAGCACCAGTTGAGTGCGCGCCACCCACACGCCGAACCAACTTCCCCCCGATTGCGCGCTGCTGGCGCTCTGTTCTTGCCGAAACGAGGGGAGTAGAAAACGGTGCCTGCTGTGCCGAGTTGAGCGTAGATTTGTTTTCAGGACCCTATTTTCCTGGTCATTTGTTTAGGCGACTGCTATTTCCAGTAGACTCCTGCGGGAGAAGCCAGCACCAAGCAAGGAGAAAGAAACCCGCGAGAGACCGGAGCTCGCCGGGACGCGACGTCGCTTTGAGAGGTTGAGAGCGGAAGGCTATTGGTCATTGCATTCTACATTATTCATATCCTTCAGGCTCCTCTACTCCAGCAAGCTTGTAATTCCTTTTTTTACGTTCTACGCGTTTCTGAATTTTAGAGCTAATAACGGGTTTCCAGCGTGTGAATTGGCTTTCTGACATCAGCATGGCGGATAATAACGTCCAAGCATCTTTCCGTAATAACCGCAACCCTCAGCCTTCAGAATCCCTCTCCGCGAGTTCCGATCCGCACAGCGAGAGGGGCGGTCGCCGCAGGGGCGGAGGCAGAGGGCGAGGCCGGAATTTCGAAGACCGAAATTCACAAGATCATGCTCGGAATCCAGGCGATAACGTCCAAAATCCGCAAGATATTGGCCGGAATCCAGAGGAGAATTATAACCGTGGAGGGCGGGGCGGCAGGGGCAGAGGCAGGGGTCGAGGCCGGGATTCAGAATTTTCCTCCGGTCGTGGAGGATTTGACGGCGTCGTCAGCGGCGGCAATCACGGCGGTGGTCGCGGCGGCGGACGCGGCGGTGGGCGTGGCGGATCTGCCGGTCTTCTAGTCCAAGACATTGATCAACAACTTGCCGTTTACTTTCAACCGTGCGGGCCTGAAGTTTACAACGGATCTGCAGGCCGTCAGGCACAGGGCGTCGCCCAACCTCGCCGCGGTTACTCTCAGCCCTACCGGCCATTTCTGGTGCCTTCCGGCCAGTCAGATCAGCCGGCAGATCTGACTGCGCTGGTGAATCAGCCGGCAAGTCAGCCTGCCGCCGCTAACGTTGACGGAAGCATGCGTGGCAGCGGGACTAGCGCGGGAATTTTGCCGTTGGAGATGCCATCGGCGGGGATAGCTTCGTATTCTTCGGGCAGTAGTAATTTCCAACAGCCAGGAACGCTCCCAAGCAGCGGGCAGCCTCAACCACGGGCAGGTCCTGGGATTTTGGACCTGCCCGCGCTTCTGCGCCCCCTTGATGCGCCAGCACAGCAGGGGCGCTCGCGGGGAAGGGGAAGGGGAGGAGGGGGCGGGGGAAGGGGAGGCAGGGAGGGGGGAAGGGGGAGAAGAGGGCCCGGAGGCAGAGGAGAGGTAGAGCTACCGTTACATTCACAGCAGCAGGTAACAGGGTTACCAGCATCAGCCCCAGTTTTGCCCTCACACGCTTCTGCGCCATTTCCTGTGCAACAGGGTTACCAGCATTCGCAGCAGCCGAATTCGCAGCAAACGTTTCACCACCAGCAGCATTTCAACCAGCCGCTACAGCAGCAGCACCACCAGCAGCAGTACCAGCATCAGGTCAGGCAAAACCCGGGCTTTGGGGGCCACAGGAGGGAGCCTTTTGAGTCGACGCAAAAGAGCGTCCGGGACACGACGAACGACAGCGTGAGGGATGTGAGGCGAGCGGAAGCAAAGAGAGCAGAATCACAGAGGGGCGGAGCGGCAGAGAGGGCTGGAGTGGCAGGGAGGGACGGAGTGGCGGTGCCGCAGCTGCTACAAGAAATGGAGAACCGCCTGCGCACCGGCCAGATAGAGTGTATGATCTGCTATGATACGGTCGGGCGCTCTGCCGCCGTGTGGAGCTGCCACAGCTGCTACGCCGTCTTCCACCTGCACTGCACGCGCAAGTGGGCCAAAGCGCCCTCGTCTGGTGCTGCCCCTGACCTCGCTGCGGCTAACGCAGGGGGAGGCGCGGGAGGGAGCGCGGGAGGGGGGGCAGGGATGGGCGGAGCAGCTGGGGGGGTTGGGGGCGGTGGAGGAGGGGGAACAGCAGCAGGAGCAGCAGGAGGGTCAGGAAGCGAAGGGTGGAGGTGCCCTGGTTGTCAGGCGGTGCAGCTAACCCCTCCCTCTCACCTCCGCTACCTCTGCTTCTGCGGGCAAAGGGAAGACCCGCCCTTCGACCCCTACCTAGTCCCCCACTCCTGTGGGGAAACCTGCCACCGACCCCTAGGCCTCCCCGGTTCGTCCTGCCCCCATCTTTGCACGCTTATGTGCCACCCTGGGCCCTGTCCGCCCTGCAGCGCTATGGGTAGTACCGAGTCATGCTTTTGTGGGGGGCAGAGGTTCCAGAGGCGGTGTAGCGAGGCTGCGACGAAGCCAGGGGGAGTGTCGTGTGGAGAGCGGTGTGGAGCGGTGCTGAGGTGCGGCAGGCATGTGTGTGAGAGGGTGTGCCATGAGGGGCCGTGTGGGGAGTGTGGGGAGGTGGTGGTGGCGCAGTGTGTTTGCGGGAAGGAGGAGCAGCAGAGGCGATGCTCCAGCCTTACTCCCAGTGACCCTCCACTCATCTCTCCTACTCCTACTCCTGTGGCTGATGCTCCTCTTCTCCCTCCTCTCACTTCGCCCTCCAAAGCGACCAAGGTTGACAGTGGCACAACTACCAGCAGCAGCAGCAGCCCTCTTTGTGACGAGAGCAAGGGTGATAGCAGCACGACAACACCCAGCAGCAACAGCGGCAGCAGTGGGGTGTATCTCGTCAAAGGAGCGTTTTCCTGCAGCACCATTTGTAACAAGCTGCTTCCGTGTGGTAACCATCACTGCCAGAAACGCTGCCACAGCGTCAGCTCCCCTTGCGGCGATTGCCAATTTTCACCCTCCACCGTTCACACCTGCCCGTGCGGCAAGCAGCCAATCACAGCGCTCCTCCAAAAAGCTGGGCAGGCAAAAGGACGAACGTCATGCCTCGACCCAATCCCAACGTGTGGCGCTGGGTGCGGCAAGCTACTCCCATGCGGCCTGCATGTGTGTGCTAGTCTTTGCCACGTGGGGGAGTGCCCTCCCTGTGAGAGGCCTGTGGAGCAGCAGTGTGCGTGTGGGGAATCCGTCCGAACGGTGCCCTGCCATAAAACCCTGATACTCGCTGGGAAGGGTTTTGGGGCTGACTTTCCTGGCAGCGGCAGTGTCGGTGGGAGTGCTGCTGGTGCTGTGGGTGGTGCTGCCGGTGTTGCTGCTGGTGAGGCCTGTAGTGGTGACGCTCGTGAGGGTATGGAGGGTGCGGAATCTGCTGCTGTTGCAGCAGCAGGGACGGGTGCAGGAGCAGGAGTTGATAGCGAGGCCTTCCGTTGTAACCGCAAGTGTAACGCCAAGAAGAACTGCGGGCGGCACCGCTGCAACACCAGCTGCTGCCCGAAAAACCCCAAGAACAAGGCGCACAGCGCCAACACCGATGCTGCTTCTCCCGCTGCTGCTGGTGCTTCACCTCCCCCTGATACAGACCCCCATCTCTGCATGCTCGTCTGTGGGAAGAAGCTCCGATGCGGCAAACACTCCTGCATGGAGCTTTGCCACTCCGGGCACTGCCCGCCTTGCCTGGAAGCTTCCTTCTCCGAGGTCTCCTGCTCCTGCGGCTCCTCCTTCATCCCTCCCCCTGTCCCCTGCGGCACTCCTGCCCCCTCCTGCTCCCAGCCCTGCTCCAAGGCGAGGGAGTGCGGGCACGATCCGGATCACCCCTGCCATTTCGGGGATTGTCCACCGTGTTCCACTGCAGTGTCGAAGGAGTGTGTGGGCGGGCATGTGGTGCTGAGGGGGGTGCCCTGTGGCAGCAGGGATATCAGATGCAGTAACGTGTGTGGGAAGAGGCGGCAGTGTGGGGTGCACGCTTGCCTGAAACTGTGCCATGTTGGCCCCTGTGATGAACCTCCTGCTTCCCCTGCTGCTGCTGCTGCTGCTGCTGGCAGTGCTGGTGGTAGTGCTGACGCTGCCTCTGCTGCTGCTTCCGCTGATGGGGACAATCAACAGCCAGTTAAGGGCCCTGTATCCTGTGGTCAGCCCTGCGGCGCCCCTAGAAGGGAGTGCCAGCACACATGCACATCCACATGCCACATCGGCTCCCCCTGTCCCGATGTCCGTTGCACCACCCCTGCCACCATCACCTGCGCATGTGGCCGTCTCTCCGCCCGAGTCCCCTGCGGGGCAGGTGGGAAAGACTCCGATTGGCTGACCGGGAATCTCATCCTGCCGGGGCTGCCCACCGCACTGGTTCAGCCTGCGGAGGCTTCCTCGGCGGCGGGCGGCCGGGCAGCGAGAAAGTTTCCGCCGGGGCAGTGCAAGCTGGCGTGCAATGAGGAGTGTGAGAAGGTCCAGCGGAAGAAAGTTCTAGCTGAGGCGTTTCATCCCTTAGCAGCTGCTGAGGGGGGTATTAGCAACAGCAGCAGCAATAGTGCTTGGGACAGTCGCGACGGCACCAGCAGCAACAGCAGCAGCAGTGCGGTTAGCAGCGGGGAGCTGTCTCAATCCGTAATGGACGTGATCCGCACCGATCCGCGCTGGGCAGCAGACGTTGAATCGCGCCTGCAGTACCTAGTGCTGGGCCCTGCTGTCAAGAGCTCCCATGCATCAACTGCTGGGTGGCCGCGCGAAGGCGTGCGGGTGCACATTTTCAAGCCTATGTCCCGAGATAAGAGGGAGGCGGTGCACCAAATGGCAGGTAGATGGCGCCTGGAGACGGTTTCCAAAGGGGCGGAGCCGCACCGATTCACACTTGTGTATACCTTGTCCAAGTCCCGCGCTCCGACCAGGAAGCTTCCGCTCCCTTCACGGATCCCTGCTGCTGCTGGTGCAGGGGGGTCTGCCACGGCTAGTGTAAGTTGCAGCCTCGGAAGCAGCAGCATAATCGGAAACAGCCTGTTGCCTCTGGGCCCGGGCTTCTCACCCTCCCTCACTGCTCCTGCCCCGCCTTTCGACCCGGAAATTGACCTGAATCCAGCGCGAGTGGTAGCTCTACTCTCTCTCCCCAGGGATTCCAATGTGGCGACTCAGCTGGTTCGATTCGGAGGGGAGTGCGAGCTGGTGTGGATCGACGATCGCAACGCAGTGGCTGTGTTTGAGGACCCCGGGCGAGCAGCAACGGCCATGCGGTTTCTCGACCACGCCAAGCCCTTCTGGGGCGCTGTTGCCCGCGGTAGCCTGAACCTGCAGCAGCAGCAGCATGGGAGTGGGGGGCCTGGATCCTGGGCTGTAGCCGGGGCAGGTGTAGCCGGCGTAGCAGGTGTATCTGGAGGAGGGGGTACTGGTGGGGCTGGTTCGGCGGGTTGGGGCGGGAGAGGCTCGGCCGGGCCTGCAGGTGCAGGTTCGGGCAGAGGTTGGGGAACAGGAGACGTGGGAGTGGGGGGAGGGGGGCGTGGGGGAGGTGCTACTGGGGGAGGGGCGTGGGGACGAGGAGGGGGAGGTTCAGCTGTGATCAAGGGAGGGGTTGGGCATGCGCTGTTGGATGCTGCATGGGGGGGTGATGATGATTGGGGCGATGGTGGGGTGGGTGGTAGTGGCGGCTGTGGTAATGGTACCGGCAGTAGTGATGTTGGTGGTGCCAGTGGCGATGTGAACAAGCTCACTGGTGCTGCACCTGCTACGACTGCTACAACAGCTACAACTGCTGCACCTGGTCCAACACCAGGTGTAACAGCTGGAAGTGCCGTTGTTACTACTGCCGTTGCTGGTGCTGGTGCTGGTGCTGGTGCTGCTGCTGCTGATGGGGAAGGGACTGGGGAAGGAGATGTGGTGAATGATGATATGGAAGACTGGGAGAAGATGCTTGATTAGGGAGTCTTGGGAGTGGGCCTGGATGCTGGGCTGTAGCTGGGGCAGGTGTGGCAGGTGCGGCAGGAGCGGCAGGTGTGGCAGGTGTGGCAGGTGTATATGGAGTGGGTAGGTACTGTGGAAGGAGATGTGGTTAATGTTGATATGGAGGATTGGGACTGGGAGAAGATGCTTCATTAGGGAGTCTTTTTATGATTTTGTATCTCTAAACGGTACCTCTACATGATCTACCGCCAGTGTTATGTGTTGTGATCTTACATATCTGTGCTTACCCATATCGGTTACTGAATTTCTGTTGCAACTTGCAACAATTGCATCTGGTGTGTTTTTAGAATTATCAGAAAACACTTGCTTACCTGTACTGAATGTCTGTTGCATTGCAACAATTGCATCCCAACCCAACTATTTTAAGCATTCCAGGAGCAGCACTACATGATTTTTCAACAACCTTTCAGCCCAGCAGCTCCTACGACCCGCGCCCGGATCGCCAGTGACGTAAGCCTACCACTAGGTTCGGGATGTGGAATGTTTTAGAGCATCAAGATCGAGCCAGCCTGCATCAGCAGCAGCATGGAAAATGGAAGTTCCGCAGGGTACGGAATCACAGAAGTCACAGAAACTCAGCTTGATGCTGGATAATAGATAATAGAAACCACCAGTAGGGCGCAAGACGAAAAAAGCTAGAGGCAGGAGACACTACAATCAAAGCTAGCAGCACGATACAAGACGAGGAAACACAGGAGACTACAAGGCAATTGTTGGGCTGAAAAAAGCCCTTAGGATCTTTTGCAGAGACTAAGTCCCAGCTTGTAGAGACTTGAGACTTGGAGTAGTGCAGCGGAAGTTGAGGCAGTTGAACCCTTGTACTAGTATGTGAGAACAAGTGATTAATTAAAGAAACAAGCATACAGCAATATATAGAAGATAAGAAAGCAGTTGTAGAGTACAGTTACAGGAACGGTTTATCGAGTCGCACAGCGACTCGACTGCCGCTTCGGTTACCATCCGTGATGTTGTAACGGTCAGTCGCAACCTCCAGTTGCGACCCTTTGAGTCCCAGACCCTTCGTGTTCTTGTCCGCCCCCTCGTGTAACCTCCGTTGACTCGCGTACCCCTTGCAATCTTCCTCGAGTGTAGTGTTACACTTCAGAAACGCTTAAGTCTTTTGATGTACTTTCAACAGCAATGAAACCCAGCAGTTGGATGTAAGGCACTAAAATGCTAGACTTACCCACGGTGATATTTAGCAGACAAACCTACCCAGAGTGTGAGCCCTACCCACAAAGCATTCGGCCCTACCCTAAGACCATCTCGGCCATAGGGGGGTGGCATCTAGGCCACGGGGTGAGGAGTACCGTAACAGAGGCCTGCAGTGGCCAGCAATGCACGGGGAGTAGTGCCACGGGGGGTAGTGGCGGGGGGGGGTAGTGGCACGAAGGGTAGTGGCACGAAGGGTAGTGGCATGGGGGGTAGTGGCACGGGGGGTAGTGGCACAGTGGGTAGTGGCTCAGGGGGGTAGTGGCACCAGGGGTAGTGGCACTGGGGTTAGTGGTACGGCGGGTAGTGGCACGGGGGGTATTGGCACGGGGGGTAGTGGCACCATGGGTAGTGGCACGTGGCGTAATGGCACCGAGGGTAGTGGCACGTGGGGTAGTGGCACGGGGGGCAGTGGCATGGGGGGTAGTGGCACCAGGGGTAGTGGCACGGGGGTTAGTGGCACGGGGGGTAGTGGCACGAGGGGTAGGGGCAGGGGGGTTTGCCACATCGGGTAGTGGCACGGAGGGTAGTGGCACAGGGGGTAGTGGAACAGGGGGTAGGAGCACGGGGGGAAGTGGCACTGGGGGTAGTGGCATGGGGGGTAGTAGCACGGGGGGTAGTGGCACCAGGGGTAGAGGTACGGCGGGTAGTGGCATGGGGGGTAGTGGCACGAGGGGTAGGGGCAGGGGGGTTTGGCACATCGGGTAGTGGCACGGAGGGTAGTGGCACGGGGGGTAGTGGCACAGGGGGTAGGAGCATGGGGGGAAGTGGCACGGAGGGTAGTGGCATGGGGGGTAGTGGCACGGGGGGTAGTGGCTCGGCCACCGGGTGAGCCACTTGGCCACTGGGTGAGCAGCTCGGCCACTAGGTGAGAAGCTCGGCCACGGGGTGAGCAGCTCGGCCACCTGGTAAGCAGCTCGGCCACGGGGTAAGCAGCTCGGCCACCTCGTAAGCAGCACAGCCACTGGTTTAGCAGCTCGGCCACTGGGTAAGCAGCTCGGCCACTGGGTCAGCAGCTCAGCCACTGGGTAAGCAGCTCGGCCACTAGGTAAGCAGGTCGGCCGTCTGAATTCTGGGGACTGAAGTATGGAGTCCGAAGTCTGGAGTAAGAGAAAAGGGGGTAGACACGAGCTAATATATATTGCATCACATCGCATTTAATTGAATTCTTGTGATTGTATTTTTTTTCTAATCGCGCGATGCGATTTACTGTTTATCACACGTTTTTTTTTTTTTTTTTTTTTTTTTTTTTTCCGCATTTAATCGTGCGCCAGAAAATGTGATATAAACACTATGAAAAAAAACGTTTTTTGGGACTTTTCAGCAGGGGTTTTCATTATGGCGTGGAAAGTAGTGCGATTAAGTATCGCATCGTGCGGATATATACTTCATCGCGGCAGTATTTAATTGATATCGCACTCTAAACGAGAGACGACCGAATTTTCATTTACAGAATTAAAATCGCGCGATGCGATTTTAATCGGATCGCTTTACCCTAAATCCTCCCAGATCGCGATTGCGATTGAAATTGCATATGCGATTTGACCATGTCTACTACTGAGCAAGAGAGGAGGCCTACCGGGCGAGAGAGGAGCCCTACCAGGAAACAGAGGAGATCAACCGGGCGAGAGAGGAGGCCTACCGGACGAAAGAGGAGGCTTATTGGGTGAGAGAGGAGGCCTAACGGGCAAGAGAGGAGGCCTACCGAGTGAGAGAGGAGGCCTACCAAGCGAGAGAGGAGGCCTACCGGGGGAAAGAGGAGGCCTACCGGCCGAGAGCGGTGGCCTACCGGGGGAGAGAGGAGGCCTACCGGCCGAGGGAGGAGCACCCGAGGGAGAGAGGAGGCCTACCAGGAAAGAGAATAGGCCTACCGAGCGAGAGAGGAGGCCAACCGGGCGAGTGAGAAGGCCAACCGGGCGAGAGAGGAGGCCTACCGGGCGAGAGAGGAGGACTACCGGGCAAGAGGGAAGGCCTACTGGGCAAGATAGGACGCCTATCGAACGAAATAGAAGGCGTAATAGGCGAGAGAGGAGGCCTACCAGGAGAGAGAGGAAGCACCAGGCGAGAGAGGAGGCCTACCGGGGGAGCGAGGAGGCCTACCGGGGGAAGGAGGAGGCCTACCGGGGAAGGGAGGAGCACTCGAGGGAGAGAGGACGCCTAGCGGGCGAGAGAGGAGGCCTACTGGGCGAGAGAGGAGGTCTACTGGGCGAGAGAGAAGGCCTACCGCACGAGAGAGGAGGCCTACCGGGCGAGAGAGGAGGCCAACCGGGCGAGAGTGGTGGCCAACAGGGTGAGAGAGGAGGCCTACCGGGCGAGAGAGGAGGCCTACCGGGCGAGAGAGGAGGCCTGCCGGGGGAGATAGGAGGCCTACCGAATGAAAGAGGAGGCCTACCAGGCGAGAGGGGAGATCTAGCGGGGGATAGAGGAGATTACCGGGTAAGAGAGGAGGTCTACCGGGGGAGAGAGGAGGTCTACCGAGCGAGAGAGGAGGCCTACCAGGCAAGAGAGAAGGCCTAGCGGGCGAGAGAGGAGGCCTACCGGGGGAGGGAGGAGGCCTACGAAGGGAGAGAGGAGGCCTACCGGACAAGAGAGGAGGCCTACCGAGTGAGAGTGGAGACCTACAGGACGAGAGAGGACTTCCGGGCGAGAGAGGAGGCCTACCGGGGGAGAGAGGAGGCCTACCGAGCAAAAGAGGAGGCCTACCGAGTGAGAGAGGATGCCTACGGGGGGAGAGAGGAGGCCTATCGGGCGAAAGAGGAGGCATACCAGGCGAGAGAGGATGCCTACCGGGGGAGAGAGGAGGCCTACCGGGCGAGAAAGTGGCCTACCGGTTGAGGGAGGAGGTCTACTGGGGGAAAGAGGAGGCCTATCGGGGGAGGGAGGAGCACACGGGGGAGAGAGGAGGCCTATCGGGCGAGAGAGGAGGCCTACCGTGTGAGAGAGGAGGCCTATCGGGCGTGACAGGTGGCCAACAGCGCGACAGAGGAGGCCTACCGGGCGAGAGAGGAGGCCTACCGGGCGAGATAGGACGCCTACTGAACGAGAGAGGATCCCAACCGGGCGAGAGAGGAGGCCAATTGGGCGAGCGAGGATACCGGCCTAGAGAGGAGGCCTACTGGGGGAGAGAGGAGGCCTACCGGGTGAGAGAGGAGGTCTACCGAGGGAGAGAGGAGGCCTACCAGGCGAAAGAGGAGGTCTACCGAGCAAGAGAGGGGGCCTACCGGGGGAGAGAGGAGGCCTACCGAGTGAGAGAGGAGGCCTACAAGGGGAGAGAAGAGGCCTACCAAGGGAGAGAGGATGCCTACCAAGCGAGAGAGGAGGCCTACCAAGCGAGAGAGGAGGCCTACCAAGCGAGAGAGGAGGCCTACCAGGCAAGAGAGGAGGCCTACCGAGGAAGAAAGGAGGCGTACGGGGGGAGAAAGGAGGCCTACCGGGCGAGAGTGGAGGCCTACCGGGCGAGAGAGGACGCCTACCGGGCGAGAGAGGAGGCCTATTGGGCGACAGAGGAGGCGTACCGGGCGACAGAGGAGGCCTACAGGGGGAGAGAGGAGGCCTACCGGGCAAGAGAGGATGCCAACCGAGCAAGAGAGAAGGCCTTCTGGGGAAGAGAGGAGGCCTACCGAACGAGGGAGGAGCACCCGGGGGAGTGAGAAGGCCTACCATGAGAGAGAGGAGGCCTACCGAGCGAGAGCGGATGCCAACCGGGCGAGAGAGGAGGCCTACCGAGAAAGAGAGCAGGCCTACCGGGCGAGACAGGAGGCCAACCAGGCGAAAGAGGAGGCCTACTGGACGAGATACGATGCCTATGGAATGAGATAGGAGGCCTACCGGGCGAGAGAAGAGGCCTACCGGGCGAGAGAAGAGGCCTACCGCGCGAGAGAGGAGGCCTACTAGGTGAGACAGGAGGCCAACCAGGAGAGAGAGGTGGCCAACTGGGCGCGAGAGGAGGTCTACTGGGCGAGAGAGGAGGCCTACCGGGCGAGAGAGGAGGCATACCGGGCGAGAGAGGAGGCCTATCGGGAGAGA